TTTAGGGGAGGGTTTGGGGGTTTACGGGAGGTTTTGGGGGTTTAGGGGAGGTTTTGGGGGTTTAGGGGAGGGTTTGGGGGTTTACGGGAGGGTTTGGGGGTTTGGGGGAGGGTTTGAGGGTTTAGGGGAGGGTTTGAGGGTTTAGGGGAGGGTTTGAGGGCTTAGGGGAGGGTTTGGGGGTTTAAAGGAGGTTTTGGGGGTTTGGGAGTTTGCTGCTGGTGTTTTGGGGGTTTGCTGCTGCTGCTGCTGCTGCTGCTGCTGCTGCTGCTGCTGCTGCTGTTCTTGTGCTGCAGTTGTTGTTAATGCTGCTGCTGTCGTTTTTGCTGCTGCTGCCCTTCTGATCCCAGCTGTTGATGCTGTTGTTCTATTTGTTCCTGCTGCTGCTGCTGCTGTTCGTGCTGCTGCTGCTGCTGCTGCTCTTCATGCTGCTGCTGCTGCTGCTGCTGCTCATGCTGCTGCTGCTGCTGCTGCTGTTTGTTGTTTGCAGGGCCAATGACGTATTTGTAGAAGCAAAAAGACTCCGGGACGGCGCCGACTTCGCAAAAAGGGTTTTCGAGGGTTTTTGAGGGTTTTTGAGGGTTTTTTGAGGGTTTTTTGAGGGTTTTTGAGGGTTTTTTGAGGGTTTTTGAGGGTTTTTTGAGGGTTTTTTGAGGGTTTTTGAGGGTTTTAAATCATCGCACTGACCTGAAGAAAACAAATTAAAAAAAACTTTTCAGTCGACGCATTTTAAGGACATTAAAGGGCCCCTTCCCACACACACGGGAGCTCCTGCACAGGGGGCCCCCGGGGGGGCCCCCATGGGGGGCCCCCCATGGGGGCCCCCATGGGGGGCCCCCTGGGGGCCCTCTGGGGGGCCCCCCGGGGGGCCCCCCATTTTCACAAGACCCCAAAATAAGGGGAGAAGTCCCCCGAGCTGCTCTTTTCAAGAAAGGCGGGGACAGGGGGGCCCCTTTTAACTGCTTTAGACTTTTTGGCGAGAACGCGGGCCAGAAGACCCAAAAAAGGGCCCAGTGGGGGGCCCCCAGGGGGGCCCCCAGGGGCCCCCAAGGGGGTATGGCCCCCGCGGGAGAGGGGGCCCCCCAAGGGGCCCCGTCTGAACCCTTTAGGGGGCCCCGGGGGCCCCCCAGGGGCCCCCTTTGCTTCTGACTGCTGTTAGAACTTTTGGTACTTCAACTAACTCGCTAGAGAGGCTGCGGGGGGCCCCCGGGGCCTCTCCCGGGGGCCCCCGTTTGTCAGATTTAAGGGAAATAACAAAAGGACTGTAAGCAGCTGCTGCTGCAGCAGCTAGCTGCTGCTGCTGCTGCTGCTGCTGCTGCTGCTGCTGTCAAAGCTGCTGCTAGTCTCCCCTAATAATAGGCAAAATGAGTCAAAAGGGCCCCTCGGGCTGACGCTCGGGGGGCCCCCCGGAGCCCTTCGGGTCCCTCGAGGAGACAGGCTCGCACACGATTGTTTAGCTAGCCAGCTAGCTAGCTAGCCAGCTAGCTAGCTAGCTAGCTGAATAGCTAGTTAGAGAGCTAGATAGCTGGCCGGTTAGCTAGCCAGTTAGCTAGCTTACTGGCCAGCTAGCCAGCTAGCCAACGGCCGGCCCAACTAGCAATGTAGCTCGCTCGCTAGCTAGCTAGCTAGCCACTTAGCTAGCTAGCTAGCTGGCTAGCTGGCTAGCACAACTCTAAGTGCCTCTTTAGGGGCGGCTAGCCCGCAATAGCCACCGACACTAATAGCAGCAGCGGCTGCAGCAGCAGCAGCAGCAGCGGCGATTGCTGCTGCTGCTGCTGCTGGGGTCGGTTACGCGCACTCAAAAAACAAAATGCCGAAAGCTGCGTGCTGCTGCTACTGCTGCTGCTGCTGCTTTTGCTGCTGCTGCCGTTGCTGCTGCTGCTGCAGCCTGCAGCTGCTGCTGCCAGGCCTCGAAATTGACCATTGTGCGGAGGCCCATAACAAAGCAGCCGCCACGGCTGCCGCTACCACTGCAGCAGCAGCAGCAGCAGCAGCAGCAACAGCAGCAGCAACAGCAGCAGCAGCAGCAACAGCAGCAGCAGATCAGATACAGATGAATGCGCAGCGCAAGGAGACTCAGTAAGCTCGAGTAAAACTTAGGGTTTAGGGTTTAGGGTTTAGGGAGAAGAGATAAAAAGGAATAAACAGAAAGATGTACAAAGAAATAAAAAAGGAAAAATGAAATAAATAAAAAAGAAGAATAAAAAGGAAAAAGCCAACGGAGCTTTTGAAAGATAAAAAATTTAAGAAGACAAAAAATGGAAAAAAAAGAAAGAAAAAGAAATAAAAAGAAAATTAAAAGAAGCAAAATTAAAAAGGATAGGAATAAAACAAGAAGTAAAAAAAGAAAATAAAAAAGAAATAAACAAAGAATTAAAAAAGAAGATTAAAAAGAGATTAAAAAGAGAATTAAAAAGGAGATAAAGAGAGATTAAAAAGAAAATAAAAAGAAAATAAAAAGAAAATAAAAAGGGACAAAAAGGAGATTAAAAAAGGAAATAAAAATAAAACAAAAAGAGACAAAAAGGAAATTAAAAAGAAAATAAAAAGAAACAAAAGGGGAGAACAAAAGAAACAAAAAAGAGACAAGAAAGTTTGAAAAAGGGAATTAAAAAAGACAAAAAGAGACCAAAAAGGGGACAAAAAAAGACGAAAAGAGATCCAAAAAAAGACAAAAAGAAACAAAAAAAGCAGAAAAGAAGACAAAACAGGAGACAAAGAAAAGAAAAGGAAAGAGACACAAAAGGAGAGAAAAAGAGTCCAAAAAGGAGACAAAAAAACAAAAAAAGAAATAAAAAAAATAAAAAAAAAGAAATTAAAAACACTCACCTCCCTCCGCTATAAACGCGCCCACGAGAACTCCCAAAGGAGTCGCAGCAACAAAAGCGCTGAGGCTTGTCAGCAGCAGCCAGCGGGGCTGCAGCAGCAAAGCAACGCAGCAGCAGCACACTTTGCTGCTGCTGCTGCTGCTGCTGCTGCTGCTGGAGCTGCTGCTGCTTTTCGCAGCTGCCCAGCGGCGGCAGCAGCAACTCTCGGCAGCAGCGGGAACGCCCGGCAGCAGCAGCAGCAATCCTCAGCAGCAGCAGCAGCTCCAGCCCGCAGCAGCAGCAGCAATCCGCAGCAGCAGCAGCAATCCGCAGCAGCAGCAGCAATCCGCAGCAGCAGCAGCTGCTGCTGCACTTCGACGCCAAACAGCAGCCACCGCCACACAACTACATCCTCGTCGTAGCTAGGGTTTAGGGTTTAGGGTTTTGCAGCACGGCTAGGGTTTAGGGTTTTGCAGCACGGCTAGGGTTTAGGGTTTAGCAGCAGGGCTAGGGTTTAGGGTTTAGCAGCATGGCTAGGGTTTAGGGTTTAGGGTTTAGGGCGTCCCGGGAGTCCGCAGTGTCGGAAAAAAGCCGCAAATGGGCGGAAAAAGGCGAAACGAGCGGCAAAAAAGGCGGAAAAGAAGAAAAAAAGAAAATAAACAAAAATAAATAAAAAAATGAACAAAAAAAAGAATTATTTGATCAAAAAAACGAAAAAAAAGACCAAAAAAGTCCTTTTTGGACCCACCGGCCGCGCCTTCAAAAACGCAGAGCCCAGCGCCACCGCCTCCGCGCCCTTGTGGCCCATTATGGCCAACGCAGTCACCCACACATCTGCTGCAGTTCGCGTCATTCCCACAACCACCGCTGCAGCAGCAGCAGCAGCAGCAGCAGCAGCAGCAGCAGCAGCAGCGGCAGCAGCAGCAGCAGGAGCGGCAGCAGCGGCAGCAGTGCGGGGAGGGGGAGGGGGGGAGCAGCAGCAGGCGCAGCAGGAGCAGCAGGAGAGGCGGAAAGCGGCGCAGGCAGCAGCAGGGAACAGCAGCAGCAGCAGCAGCAGCAGCAGCAGCAGCAGCAGGAAACAAAGAGGAAATGGGAAATTAAAAATAAATGGGGAAATAAACAAGAAATAAAAAGTAATAATGAAGAAATAAAAAGACGGAAAGAAAGAAAGAAATAGATAAAAGAAAATAAAAATAAAAATACAAAAAGTGGCAAAAAACAAAAAAAAATTAAAAAGCAATAAAAGGAAAAAGAAATTGAAAGAAATTAAAGGATGAAAAGAAATAAAAAAGAAATAAAAAATAAAAATAAATAAAAGGAAATAAAAATAAATAAAATGAAATAAAAGAAAATAAAAAGAAATAAAAGATAAAAGGAGACAAAGAGAGGGAAAAAGAGAAACAGAAAAAATATAAAAAAGGAAACATGAGGAGAGACAAAAAGAGACGAAAGGAGACATTTTGGCATGCTGTAGGAGCTGCAGCAGCAGCAGCAGCAGCAGCTGCTGCTGCTGCTGCAGCTGCTGCTGCTGCTGCAGCAGCTGCAGGAAAGAGACAAAGCAGCAGAGGAGACGAAGCAGCAAAAGAGAAGTCAGCCACAAGAGCAAAGCCAAACAACGAGAAAATCCACCGGCTCTTTTTGCTGCTGCTGCTGCTGCTGCTGCTGCTGCTGCAGTGCAGCAGCAGCAGCTGTCTGCATACTACAGCCGCACCCTCAAGAAAAGCATGGGCCCCCAAAGCGGCAGCCAAAGGAATCTGAGAGCCTCCTCTTGCTGCTGCATGCGGGTGCTGCTGCTGCTGCTGCTGCTCGTGCTGCTGCTGCTGCTGCAGCTTGTGCAGCAAACGCGCCTCATCAGAACAGCTGTGGTCTGCAGCAGCAACACCCCCGCAGCAGCAGCAGCAGCAGCAGTCTTTACTCGCATACTCAAATACCTACGTCATACCCCCTGACAGCAACGAATGTTTGCTGCAGCAGCAGCAGCAGCAGCAGCAGCAGCAGCAGCAGCAAACTGTGGTGTGGGGCCGGCCCCGCAGCAAAGCTGTCCCCGCCTGACGCACGATTGTCTCCTCCCTGAAGACAGCAGCAGCAGCAGCAGCAGCAGCAGCAGCAAGGAGTCCTAAGTGTCCCTTTGGGCCCTTAGGAAGCAGCAAGAATGCAGCAGCCGAGCAGCACAGCCAACACCACCCCTAAAGCAGCAGCAGCAGCAGCAGCAGCAGCAGCAGCAGCAGCAGCAGCAAGTCCTTGCCTGGCAGTTGTCCCCTGTGAGGCCGCAGTGCACCCGCAGCTCCGAAGTGGGCGAATGCGAAAGAGAGCAGCAGGGTTTTGCTGCGCTGCTGCAGACGTTGCCTTTGCAGCAGCTGCTGCTGCTGCTGCAGCCGCCCTGTGCTGCAGCAGCAGCAGCAGCAGCAGCAGCACCTGGAGAGGCGCAGCCAGCGTCACACGGCGACGCGCGGCCGCTGCTGCTGTTGCTGCTTCTCCGGTCTCTCTCTTGCGCAGGTGCCACAGCCGAGCCTTTCCGTGCTGCTGCTGCTGCTGCTGCAGCAGCAGCAGCAGCAGCAGCAGGCACGCCGCCCTTGGCTAGCAGCTGCTGCTGCGAGGCGCCGCCGTCGCTGCCCACCCCCGACCCAGCAGCAGCAGCAGCAGCAGCAGCAGCAGCAGCAGCAGCAGCACGCTGCGAACAGCCCAGGTCCTGCTCGTTTGCTGCAGTGTGGGCCTCCACGCAGTCATCACATTCTGGGCAATAAGCTGCTTCGCTGCAGGCCCCGTGCTGCTGCGCATGCAGGTGGGCTTGGTGCGGCAGTGCTGCTGCTGCTGCTGCTGCTGCTGCTGCTGCTGCTGCGCTCCCGGCCACTGAGCTCGTGTCCGAGACCGACTCTCTCTCGTGCGTGCCATCTGCAGCAGCAGCAGCAGCAGCAGCAGCAGCAGCAAAGGACTCGCGGCAGCCCAGCATTATCACCCGTTGCAGCAGCACGGAACGTCGGCAGCAGCACTGCAGCAGCAGCATTGCAGCAGCAGCACTGCAGCAGCAGCATTGCAGCAGCAGCACTGCAGCAGCAGCACTGCAGCAGCAGCACTGCAGCAGCAGCAGTGCAGCAGCAGCACTGCAGCAGCAGCAGCAGTGCAGCAGCAGCAGCAGCAGCAGCAGCTGACGGGAGTGGGAGTGTCCGCAGAGCTGCTCGAGCAGCAGCATCAAGGCGAAGCCAGCAGCAGCAAAGACATAAGCAGCATTATAGCTGTGTTGGTGGTTCCCGTGGCTGAGGTGTAGAGACACCCCAGCAGCTTCCAGCTGCTCCACAGCTTCCGGCAGCAGGTGCAGCAGCCCCAAACCCAGAAACGCGCCTGCAGCAGCAGCAGCAGCAGCAGCAGCAGCAGCAGCAGCAGCAGCAGCAGCGGCCGTTCGGACAGGGGGCAGTGCTGTTGGCTACAGGCAGCAGCAGCAGCCCTTCGAACTGGGCGCCAAGCTATTGGCTACAGGCAGCAGCAGCAGCAGCAGCAGCAGCAGCGGCAGCAGCAGCAGCAGCAGCGACAGTCGCTGCCTGCGTCAGGTGAGAGCCGCTTGAGGCCCAACGTGTCACCCACAGCAGCAGCAGCAGCAGCAGCAGCAGCAGCAGCAGCAGAGCGCACCGCATGCGAAGCAGTTGAGGAAAACCAGCATAGCCTGGACGCAGGAGCGCTTGCGTCTGCGTCTGCTGCTGCTGCTGCTGCTGCTGCTGCTGCTGCTGCTTCTGGGGTCTCCAGGCCTCAGGGGGGCCCCCAGGGGCCCCTCCGAGTTTGCTGCTGCTTTGCCATTAAGGTAAAAAGGAAAAGCAGCACCAGCAGCAGAAATTGCTGCTAGAATGGCAACAGCAAGAAGTTTTGAGGCCCAAAGAGGGAGGCCCTGGGGCCCCTCATCTCCCAGGTTTTGCTGCTGCTGCTGCTGCTGCTGCTGCTGCTGCAGCAGCAGCTGCTGCAGCTCCTCATAGCTGTCCGCCGCGTGCGAGGGGGCTGCAAACACGCCCAGGGGCAAACCTGCTGCTGCTGCTGCTGCAGCAGCAGCAGCTGCTGCTGCTGCTGCTGCTGCGCCCGCCCTTGGTACCATTGCCCCACTGCGTGCACTCGCCCATGTGCGCCTGGATTTTGCTGCAGCTGCGCTGCTGCTGCTGCTGCTGCTGCTGCGCGCGTTGCTGCTGCTGCTGCTGAGAGCCCGCAGGGCGCGGTGGTGCAGCTGCTGCTGCAGCTGCTGCTGCTGCTGCTGCTGCGCGAACAGCAACGCCAATTGCTGCTAATTTCAGGTTTGCTGAAAGCCTATTAAAGGGCTGTGGGGGTAGGGGTGGAGAATGTGCCCTACGGGGGCCCCAAGCCCCAACCCCCGCTGCTGCTGCTGCTGCTGCTGCTGCTGCTGTTGCTGCTGCTGCTGCTGCCGCGTTAGGGGGGATTCATAGCTAAGGCAGCAAAAAGAGAAAGCTGCAGTCTGGGCCAGAGCTAGTGTCTTTGGGAGAGTTCTAATACGGGCTATCGCTGCTGCTGCTGCTGGTGCTGGTGCTGCCGGTGCAGCTGCTGCTGCTGCTGCTGCTGCTGCTAGCCTCCCCGCTGCTCCTAATAAACAAAAAAATACAAAAAAAGAAAATTATTTAAACACAGTTTATAAATGGGAACAAAGAAGGCTGGAGAAGATGCGCTGTGTAGCTGTCAGGCGCTGCGATGTGGGGCTCGCTCAGCTAGCACGTGCAGCAGCAGCAGCAGCAGCAGCAGCAGCAGCTGCTGCTGCTGCTGCTGCTGCCGCAGCCCGTTGGCCTGCTCGTAGCCGATGCTGCTGCTGCTGCTCAACCTTGCTGTCTCAGCCTTCTTTTATACAAATTCGACTCAATAAAATTAAAATTGAATAAATTGAGTCTCATTTAACTTAATTTTTCTGTTTTTCTCTGCCGAAGAGCCCGCTGCTGCTGCTGCTGCTGCTGCTGCTGCTGCTGCTGCCGACTCTCCGGCCTCAACTTGAGGCCTGTGGCTCGCAGCAGCAGAGCCCCTGGGCTCTTTAGCTGCTTGACTTCGTTCTGCAGCTAGCTGCAGCTAGCTGTAGCTAGCTGCTTCTGGGGGAGCATGCGGCTCGCCTAGCAGCAGCAGCAGCAGCAGCAGCAGCAGCAGCAGTGTCCCTGTCCGGCGCGCCACCGCAGCAGCACGAAGATGCCGCAGCTGCTGCCTCGCCTTCGCTGCAGCTTGCTGCTGCTGCTGCTGCTGCTGCTGCTGCACTGCCTGGGCGCAGCAAATGGCGCAGCAGCGGGCCCGGGGCCCCCCAGCGAGGCGGGTGTGCTGATGGCCACAGAAGACAGTGAGTTTTGAGGAGTTTTTTGTCTTTTTTTGTTCATTTTTTGTCTTTTTTTTGTCTTTTTTTTGCTGCTTTTTGTCTTCTTTTAGTCTCCCCTCCGTCTGCTCTTTGTTTGCCTTTTTTTCCGCTGCTGCAGCAGCTTTTTTGCTGCGTGGGTGCTGCGGGCTTCGGGTGTACGTACACCCCAGCAGCTTGCTGCAGTCGCTTTCCGCTCTTTTGCTGCTGCTGCTTCTTCACTTTTTAACCTCTCAGTGCATGCAAAGGCTCTTCAAATGAAAAGTTTGTTTTTAAATTAATTAAATGCTTCAAAATAAACCATTTAATTCATTCCCGCAGCAGCTAATTAGCCATCTACACACATATCTTGTCTGCCAAACATGTGTGGACTTGTATATATTTGACTATATGTGTCTATATATATCTTTATATATGTACATTTAAATATATTTATTTGTTTATTTGTTTGCATTTATTTATAAATACATTTAGCACTTCATTTATCTACTTTTATGCAATTACACTTGTAAATATATCTGTTTAAATATATATACAAATAAATAAGAAAAGATACATATTTATATATACATATTTATATGTGTCTATTAGTACTTATATAAGTCTATTTATTTATTTATTTATTTAAAAAATTAATTACTATTTATATATTCATATTTAAATGCATTTGCATGTAAATATTGCTGGATATAAATGGCAAACATGTTGCAGTATATTCCAAAAAAGAAAACATTTCAAGTAAATGCACTTCAAATAAATAAACTGCAATTAAATGCATTTAAATAAAATTAAAAATTCAAACATTAAATGCATTTAAATAAAATTAAAAATTCAAACATTAAAAACCAAACCAACAAACTTATTTCCAGCCACTGCATGCAAATAAAACGCACCTTTTTTCCCTTTGCATGCCGCCCTGCTGCTGCTGCTGCTGCTGCTGCTGCTGCTGCTGCTGCTGCTGCTGCTGCTCTGCGCCCTTAACCGCCGCCGCTGCTGCTGCTGCTGCTGCTGCTGCTGCTGCTGCTGCTGCTGCTGCCGGGTGTACGTACAGTCGAGAGGGCGGAGAGCGACGGGCGGCAGTACCGGTTCGTGCTGCTGCGGAATTTGCTGCGGGTGCTGCTGGTGCACGAAAAGTCGTGCAGGGAAGCTGGGGGATCGGTTTTGGTGGGGATCGGTTCGGGATCGGATCCCAAGGCGATCCCAGGCCTCGCGCACTTGACGGAACATTTACTTTTTCAAGGAAGTTCTTCTTTTTCGAAGACTTTTCCTTTTTCGAAAACTTTCTTTTTCGACTTTTTGCATTTCCACGGAGGCCTCGCCAACGCCTACACGCGCCGCTTCTCCACAGTCTTTTCCTTTGCTGTTGCTGCTCCCGCACTTTCCCAAACCCTAAACCTCCTCAAACCCTTTTTCCAAAACCCTCGCTTCAGTCCCAAACCCTCGAAGAGAGAAACCCTCGCAGTCCACGCCGAGTTCCTCCACAGACTCAACAAAGACCCCCTCCGCCTCAGCTACCTCATCCGCCAGGCGAGGGTTTAGGGTTTAGGGTTTAGGGTTTAGGGTTTGGGTTTTGGGGTTGGGGTTTGACGCTTGCTGCTGGGGTCTAGGCTCCAGGGTTTGGGGCCAGGGTTTGGGGCTTGGGTTGGGGGTTTAGGGTTTAGGGCTTGGGGTTTGGAGTTTCGATTTCGGATTCAGAGCTTGGGGTTTGGGGGTTCCGGTTTGCGTCTGGGGTTTAGGGTTTAGGGTTTAGGGTTTAGGGTTTGGGCGAAGATCTTGAGGGGGGAGAGCTCGGGGCTGGGGGCTTCGGGGTCTTTAGGGTTTAGGGTTTAGGGTTTGCAGGTTAGGGCTTGGGTTTAGGGTCTAGGGTTTGGGGACTAGGGTTTGGTTAGGGTTTAGGGTTTGGTTAGGGTTTAGGGTTTGGTTGTTGCAGAGCAAACTTAAAACCCCTTTTTCGAGTTTTGCCGTCGGCAATTTGGACAGCCTTGTGAAGGAACCTCGAAAAAAGGGTATTGACTTTTTAAAGGAAGTGCGGCGCTTCCACGACAAGTGGCAAGTCCCTAAACCCTAAACCCTAAACCCTAAACCCTAAACCCTAAACCCTTAGTGCGGAAGACTTGAAACGCCTGGCTCGCCAAACCCTAAACCCTAAACACTAGGCCATACGCGTTGTTGCTTTGAAGTGCGTGGCTGGAGCTCTCAGTGCGGGTAGCTGCTGCCGCAGGAGAGCTCTCACCCAAACCCTAAACCCTAAACCCTAAACCCTAAACCCTAAATAGATATCTTCAACACTTTTTCCAGTACCTCCGTTGCTTGGAGGTGCGGCAGACCTTCCCTGGCTCTCTGCGAGGCCGTCCGGCAGCACCTGAGGCACCTAGGGTTTAGGGTTTAGGGCTTAGGGTTTAGGGTTTAGGGTTTAGGGTTTAGGGTTTAGGGTTTGTGTGCAGGTACTCGAGCAACTTGATGACGGCCGTGATTGTGGGCGCAGAGTCTTTGGACCGTTTGCAAGAAATGGTTGTAAACACTTTGGGAAAAATCCAAAATAAAAAAACCCCAAACCCTCGTTTTCAAGAGTGTTCCCTCACTTACCAGCCCTTCGCCGCCGACGAGCTCAAAACCCTCGTGAGGGTTTAGGGTTTAGGGTTTAGGGTTTAGGGTTTGGGGTTGGGGTTTGGGGTTAGTGGTGAGGGACTTGTGGGCGAACGCAGCTCAGGGGATTAGCGCGTAGACCTGGCTTTTAGAACTCCTTGGATTCCATAGTTTAGGGTTTAGGGTTTAGGGTTTAGGGTTTAGGGTTTAGCGCTTGTGTGGCCTCCAAGTCTGTCTCAGCTGATGTCCCTCACTCCCTCCTGTTTGTGCGTTTGCCTTCTCTGCTGCTGCTGCTTGCCCTGCTGCTGCCCCCGCTGCCGCTACCGCTGCCGCTCCTGCTGCTGCTGCCGCTGCCGCTCCTGCTGCTGCTGCTGCTGCTGCTGCTGCTGCTGCTGCTGCTGCTGCTGCGCAGACGGTGGTGAGCGCGCAGTCTGCGGCGCGCGAGCTGCGGTTTGTGTTCGCGCTGCCGCCGCAGCAGTACGTGTGGGACACAAAGCCTTTGCTGCTGCTGCAGCAGCTAATAGAGTTGCAGGCCAGGGGCTCTTTTGCTGCTGCTCTCAAAAGGGCTTCTCTCGTCACTGCTGTTGCAGCAGACCAGTCCGAACCCCAGTACTGCACGCTCTTCGAGGTCACTCCTGCTGCTGCTGCTGCTGCTGCTGCTGCTGCTGCTGCTGCTGCTGCTGCTGCTGCTGCAGCTGCTGCTGCTGCTGCTGCTGCTGCTGCTGCTGGGGCTGGTGCTGGTGCTGCTGCTGCTGCTGCTGGGGCTGGGGCTGCGCCTAGACGGGGGCCTGCTGCAGTTGCTGCAGCGCGGCAGTTGCAGCTGAAGCGGTTTGCAGCTGCAGCAGCTGCTGCTCTTTGCCTTCTCATCCAGCCCAACCTGCTGCTGCTGCTGCTGCTGCAGCAAGTGCGGCTGGGACGGTTTGCTGCTGCTGCTGCTGCGGGCTTACGCCTTTTTTCTCAGATTCGCTTCCTGCTGACGGAGAAGGGAGTTAAAGATGAGTCCATTGCTTACATTGGCGACATGCTTTTTCTCTACTTAAGGTCCCCCAAACCCTAAACCCTAAACCCTAAACCCTAAACCCTTAAGCGAGAGGCAGAGTAGGGGACTTGTTGGGGTCTCGGCTTTGGCCTTCAAAGCTCTTGGTTGTTTTCTGAGTTAATGAGGAGCTTGCTGCTGCTGCAGCGGGCTGAGCGCGCGCAGGCTAGGGTTTAGGGTTTAGGGTTTAGGGTTTAGGGTTTAGGGTTTAGGGTTTAGGGTTTGTGCACAGGGCCATTCGTATGCTGGGAGTGGAAGAGTGGCGCTACGCGGAGATGGCCGCAATAAGGCGGCAGCAGTTTCGCTTTTCAGACATGCAAGATGCCTACGACTTATCTCAAGCTGCAGCAGAAGGTAAGCAGCAGCAGCAGCAGCAGCAGCAGCAAGTTCTGCAGCAGCAACTGCAGCAGCAACTGCAGGAGCAACTTGCAGCAGCAGCAAGCGCTGGCACAGCAACTGCTGCAGCAGCGCTGCCGCAGCAGCAGCAGCAGCAGCAGGAGCAGGAGTTTGCCCCCGTTTTTGCTGCGTCTGTCGCCATTTGCTGCTGCTGCTGCGCTGCTGCTGCTGCTGCTGCTGCTTCTGCTGCAGCGCTGCAGTACTACCCTGTGAAGGAAGTTCTCGCGGGACCTTCGAACTTATATTTGTTCAACAAAGATTTAATTTTGTCTTTAATAGACCATTATTTGGGGCCCCACAACTTGCGGCTGTTTCTGCTGGACAAGCAGCGGGGGGCCCGGGGCCCCCTACTTGAACCCAGGTACCAAATTCGGTACTCCCGGGGGCCCCTGGGGGCCCCCCTGCTGGCCCGCTGGGGGGCCCTCTTCTCCCTCAGCAAGGGGCCCCTTCTTGCTGCGCTGCAGCAGCACGGCCTCTCCCTCCCGGGGCCCAACCCCTACCTTCTCCCGCTGCTGCAGCAGCAGCCCGTCGACCAGCAGCAGCAGCAGCAGCAGCAGCAGCAGCAGCAGCAGAACCCACACCCCACACGCCTTCTCTTCCCATCCGGCCATCTCTGCAATCCCGCGGGACACCTGGGGGGCCCCTCTCGCCGCAGACCCTTGGGGGCCCCTCAAGAGCCCTTGGGGGCCCCTCAAGGGGGGCCCCTGGGGGCCCCTGAGGAGCCCTTGGGGGCCCCTGGGGAGGCAACTGCGGCAGAGGCTTCAGAGGGGCCCCTGGGGGCCCTCGGGGAGTCCTTGGGGGCCCCTGAAGAGCCCCTTGGGGCCCCCGGAGAGGGGCCCCCGGGGGGGCCCCTGGGGCCCCCAGAGGAGCCGCTGGAGGCCCTCAATGAGGGGCCCCCCTCAGAGCCCCTGGGGCCCCCCTCAGAGCCCCTGGGGCCCCCCGGGGGCCCCCCGGGGGCCCTGCAGCAGGGGGCCCCCGCTGAACCCGCGGGGGGCCCCCCGGGGGGCCCCCCGGGGGCCCCTGACTCGGGAATTGTGTGCAATGTTTTTCACAAAAAGGATTTGCGTTTCAAAGTTCCCAAGACTGCAGTGTCTTTGGACTTTTACTTCAAACCTCCCTCAGGAGACAAACTGCAGCAATTCATTTTTGCTGAACTTTTTGTGCGCCTCGCGAACTTGTCCTTAGCTGAGGTAGGCGCTGCCAGCTGCTGCTGCTGCTGCTGCTGCTGCTGCTGCTGCTGCTGCTGGTAGTGCAGCTGCTGCGCCTGCGGTTGCTCAGGGGCCCCCCGAGGGGCCCCCAAGGGGCCCCCGAGGGGCCCCCTGAAGGGCCCCCCGAGGGGCCCCCTGAGGGGCCCCCGAGGGGCCCCTGAGGCCTGTGGTTTGAATTTTTTGTTGTTTCTGCAAATGTTTTCTGGCTTTGAATAGTCTGGAAAAGGGCCTTTTTGTGGATGATTTGTGTCTGGAATTATCTCCAAATATCTTTTTAATTTAATTTAATTTTTTTTAATTTTTAATTTTCTTTTTTGTTCTTCAGGCCTTCGACGATTCCGCCCGAGCCGGCTTCCGCCTGTCCTTCTCCCTGGGCGTCCGCGCCGGGGCAGCCTCGAGGCCCTTTGCTTTGGGGCTGCATGCATTTGGCTTTTCTGCGGGCATTCCCCAGCTCCTTTTGGCTGCTGCTGCTTGCCTGGGGGCCCCCCCTGCTGCAGTTGGGGAGGGGGCCCCCTTGGGGGCCCCGGAGCCGCTTTCAGGGGCCCCCGGGGGGCCCCAGGGGCCCCCAGGGGGCCCCTCAGGGGCCCCAGAGGCGCTTCCAGGGGCCCCCGGGGGGCCCCCGGGGGCCTCCGGGGGCCCCTCGGGGGGCCCCCCCGGGGGCCCCCAGGGGCCCCCGGGGGCCCCCCGATGCCCCGCAGAACCCTTTTTGCAGCAGGAGCTTCTGGGGCCCGCGTGGGAGTCTTTAGAAACTTCTATGAAAGTAGCAGCAGCAAATAGAAGCCCCGGAAGACAGGCTATGGATGCCTTGGCACAGTTTGTTGCTGCTCCCTTCTTTGCCCCGCAGCAGCTGCTGCAGGCCCTGGGGGCCCTCAAGGCGAAGTACCTGCAGGGGGCCCCCCTGCTTGAGGAGTCGGAGTTTGAAGAAGCAAAAGAACAAAAAGAAGAAAAAGAAATTAAAAGACAAAAAGAAAAAGAAGAAATAAAAAGACAAAAAGAAGAAACAGAAAAAGGATTTCAAAAACTCTACAAAGATCTCGTCGAGTGGGGAAGAAACGCCTTCCACGAAGTCCACGTAGAAGGCCTCATACAGGTGACCCGCAGCTCCTACTGGCTAGCTAGCTAGTTAGCTAGCTAGCTAACTAGCTAGCTAACCAGCTAGCTAACTAGCTATCTAGCTAACTAGCTAGCTAACTAGCTAGCTAGCTAACTAGCTAGCTAACTAGCTAGCTAACTAGCTAGGTAGCTAGCTAGCTAGTTAGCTAGCTAGTTAGCTAGCTAGTTAGAAGCTAGCTAGGGTAGCTGCTAGCTAGCTGCTGGCCACTGGCTCGCCAGCGGCTAGCTAACAGCTACCGAGCAAATAGCTAGCAGCTAGCTGGCAGCTAGCTGGCAGCTAGAAGGGTAGCTGGTAGCCAGCCCACTGCTGCTGCTGCTGCTGCTGCTGCTGCTGCTGCTGCTGCTGGCTGCATAGTGCGTTGTGTGTGCTTGTTTGAGTGGTTTTTTCAGGGCAACATAGGAGCTTCTTCTGCTGCTGCTTTGCTGTCGGATATTCTCGATTTGCTGCCAATAAAGCGCGCCATAAGTGCAGCAGCAGCAGCAGCAAAGTTGCAAGTGCTGCCTTTAGAGGCCCTCAGCAGCCCCCGCCCAGAGGCCCCCGCGCGGGTGCCGCTGCACACCCGCAGCGCGCCTGTCCGGCGTGTGCGGCAGCAGAGGCCTTCAGCAGCAGCAGCAGCAGCAGCAGCAGCAGCAGCAGCAGAGGGGGCCTCCCAGGAGGCAGGGGCCCCGAGAGCCCCTGAGGGGCCCCCCGCGGGGGCCCCTTGGGGTCTTAACGCGGGGGCCCCTGGCGTACTTCACGCGGGGGCCCCTGGGGGGCCCCCCGAGGGGGCCCCTCTGGAGAGCTGGGGGCCCCCAAGGGCAGCAGCAGAAGCAGCAGAAGAGCAGCAGGGGCCCCGCGAGTCTTTGGCGGAGACAGAGGAAGAAGCAGCAGCAGCAAAAAGGAAAACAAAAAAAGATCTTCAAGAAAAAAAGAAAATTCCAAAAAGACTTCAAATCATCAAACGAAATGTCAACCTCTACGACCCCAAGAACCACACACTACTCGTGGTCCAGGTGCGCAGCATAGTGGCTAGCCAGTGGCTAGCTAGTGGCTAGCTAGTGGCTAGCTAGTGGCTAGCCAGTGGCTAGCTAGCGGCTAGCTAGTAGCTAGCTAGCGGCTGGCTAGCGGCTAGCTAGCGGCTAGCTGGTGGCTAGCGAGTGGCTAGTTAGGGGATAGATAGCGGCTAGCCAGTGGCTAGCTAGTGGCTAGCTAGTGGCTAGCCAGTGGCTAGCTAGGGGAGAGCTAGTGGCTAGCCAGCGGCTAGCTAGTGGCTAGCCTGCCTGGTCCCTCTCTAGCCAGCTAAGGTCAGATTTGTCTCTAGAGAACCACGCAGCAGCAGCAGCAAATGCACAGCAGCCCCAGAAGCAGCAGCAGCAGCAGCAGTAGCAGCAGCGCCGCAGCTACAGCAGCAGCAGCAGCAGCAGCAGCAGCAGCAGCAGCAGCAGCGCCGCAGCTACAGCCACAGCAGCAGCAGCAGCAGCAGCAGCAGCAGCAGCAGCAGCAGCAGCGAGAGTGTGTGTGTGTGTGCCAGGCTGGCAGCAGTTTGTCTCTGCGGGAAAAGGCACTTTTGTGTTTGGCAGTGCACGAAATGTCTCAGTCGTTTTTTAACGTTTTGAGGACAAGAGAACAGTTGGGGTATTCTGTTCAAATGGGAAGTTTTCGATTGGAGAACTTTTTATATTTTTTCTTCAAAGTGACTTCTCCAGTGGACCCGCAGCAGGTGCAGCAGCGCATTTGGCGCTTCTTAGCAGCAAAAAGGAAAGTGCTGCTGCAGCAGCAGCAGCAGCAGCAGCAGCAGCTGCTGCGCCTCAAAGCAGCAGCAGCAGCACGCTGGCGCAAACAGCCACAAGCTCTTCTCGGCGACTTCGCCAGAAATCTGCAGCAAATCCGCAGAAGAGAATATCTTTTCGACTTCCACGAACGCATTGTCCAAGAAATCGAGTCAGCTGCTGCTGCTGCTGCTGCTGCTGCTGCTGCTGCTGCTGCTGCTGCTGCTTTGCTGTTGCTGCTGCAGCAGCACGTTGCTGCTGCTGCGCTGCTGCAGCAGCAGCGCAACGTGCTGCTAGGACCGACACAGCTGCGACGGACGCGGCGGACCACTGTGGTGCTGCTGCTGCTTATGCCTCTCCCGCTTCTGCGACTGCAACTGCTGCCGCTGCTGCTGCTGCTGCTGCTGCTGCAGTTTGCTGCTTCCTTGCTGCTTGTGTGTGGTTTGGCGCTGCAGGAAAGTTGAAATGGGCGAAATGGAAGCTTTTAGAGAAAAGGCTCTTTTTGGGGGCCCTTCTGTTTCAGTTCAGGTGTACAGCCAGTTCGAAGTGCCCAAAGAGAGGCCCCTCAGGGCTTAAACCTGCAGCAGCAGCAGCAGCAGCAGCAGCAGCAGCAGCAGCGGCAACAGTAGCAGCAGCAGCAGCAGCAACAGCAGTAGCAGCAGCAGTAGCAGCAGCAGTAGCGGCATTAGCTGCAGCAACAGCTGCAGCAGCAGTAGGTGCAGTAGCTGCAGTAGCTGCAGTAGCTGCAGCAGCAGCAGCAGCAGCACCAACAGTAGCTACAGCAACAGCACTAGCAGTAGCTGCAGAAGCAGCTCGAGCAGTAACTGCAGCAGCAGCCCGTGGAGCAGCAGCAGCAGCAGCAGCAGCAGCTAAGGTCTTGGTAAGTCAACATCTCAGGTGAAACCCAATGAGGCCCAAAGCAGAAGAGGGGCCCCCAGCTGAATACAGGGGCCCCCTTTGCTGCAGAGACAATATGCTTGTTTTTTATAAATTTAGATTTTATTTTATTTGCTTGGCGATGAACTTGCTGCTGCTGCTTTTGCTGCTGCTGCTGCTGCTGCTGCTGCTGCTGCTGCTGAAGGCCTGGCTTGTATGAAAGGCACATCACTGCTGGGCTACGAGATGCACACAGCAGCAGCATACGAACTAGCTACAGCTAGCCATAGCTAGCCATAGCTAGCTACAGCTAGCCATAGCTAGCCACAGCTAGCTACAGCCACCTACAGTTAGCCATGGCTAGCTACAGCTAGCTACAGCTGGCTACAACTAGCCACAGCTTCTTTTAGGAGCTTCTTAGTGTGAGAGTCACGAGCTGGGACAAAGCCTGGAGGGAACAGCCCATTTAAGACATTAGTGGGGATTGCATGCGCATGCATGCAAGCCCCATGAGCATGCATGCGCATGCATGCGCATGCATGCAAGCCCCATGAGCATGCATGCGCATGCATGCGCATGCATGCAAGCCCCATGCGCATGCATGCGCATGCACACTGCAGCAGCAAGCAGCTGGTGGGTAAACCTGACTTTGAGGGCCTGCCAGCAGCGCCGTGGGAACTCCAGACCCTAAACCCTAAACCCTACTTTGCAGCTTTGCTGCGCTGTAAACCCTAAACCCTAGCTTGCAGCTTCGCTGCTGCAGCACCAGCTGGCGCCTGCAGCAGCAGCAGCAGCACGGGGCAAGCAGTTACTAGGGTTTAGGGTTTAGGGTTTAGGGTTTAGGGTTTAGGGAAGGACCATACCAGTGGCAGCGGGCCCCACAGACAGCTTCGAGCGCCAGCTGTCTGCTGCTGCAGTCTGCATGCGCATGCATGCAAACTGCAGCAGCAGCCAGCACTTATTTTGGGGCTTTTTTCTCTCTTCATGAATCTTTTCTCAACTTCTATTTTTCCAGTCCTTCTTATTTTCTGCTCTTCTTCTTTTTAATTTCATCTCCTTGTCTCTTTTCCGCGGCCTCCGCCGCCTCCCTGGGGCCCCCACTTAGGGGCCCCCCAGGGGGCCCCCTGTTGGGGCCCCCCTTGGGGGCCCCCCTCAGGTGCCCCCCCTGGGGGCCCCCCTTAGGGGCCCCCCTTAGGGGCCCCTCTTGGGGCCCCCCTTTAGGGGCGCCCCCTTGGGGGCCCCCTCCTGGGGCCCCTCTTTAGGGGCCCCCACAAAGGGGCCCTTATATAAGGGCCCCACGTAGTCCAGAGTTGGCTGTCTGCACTTATTTAGGGTGTCTTTATTTATATTTATATTTATATTTATATTTATATTTATATTTATATTTATATTTATATTTATATTTATATTTGCATTTCTATTTTAATTTCTTTTCGTGTCCACTTGACCATTGGTCTGTCCATTCCTTTAACAAGGGCCCTGGGTGATATATATTTAATTGCATGCAACTAATTGATTAATTAATTGTTACTTTAATTACTTAGCTAACTAATAAGCTGGCATTTTAATAACTTAGTTAATTAGTTGGTTGCTATTTCGATTAATTAATTAATTAATTAATTAATAATTAATTAACTGATTAATTAATTAAGTAATTTGTTTATTTACTTATTTATTAACTTTTTAATTAATTAATTAATTAATTAATTAATTAATTGATCAACTACTTGCATGCAAAGCCAAGCCCGCGGGCCGCCGCTTCCAGATAGCGCCTGACCTCCCTAGGGCCACACATATGGATTAAAATAAATTAAATAAATATAAATAAATATAAATAAATATAAATAAATAAACAAGTTAATAAATAAATATAAATGTAGAAATAAAAAATAAACATAAATGTAAATATAAATATAAATTTACAAACACGAACTTGTGAAAAGTACAATTAATTTTTCTGCGCAGCTTTGCATGCAAAAGGCCCAAAGACACTCCAGCTGCATCTTCTCTCCCCACATTATGCATGCATGCAAATGCATGCAAATGCATGCATGCAAATGCATGCATGCATGCAAATGCATGCATGCATGCAAATGCATGCATGCATGCAAGTATTTGCAAGGGCTGATTATATTTTAAATAATAAATAATGAGTCGAATAACTTTAGAGGACAGACTTCCAAGAAAGAAGTGTTGGATCATAAAACCAATTTTCGTCTTTTTTGAAATAACTATTTTTATTAATATTAAATATAAATTATTTAAATCTTTTAATATTTTCATAAATATTATTTTATAAGAAGATATTTATTTCGTTGTGCTCCGCATGCAGTGCTTTGAATAGCCTTTATAAACCATATTTGCATTTGTTATAATCCAACTTTTAAATTTTTTGTTTTTAGTTAATTTGTTTTTCCAAAATTTCTTTTTAAAATAACTATATTTTAATTTCTAATAAACACAAAGTTGAACTCAAAAGTTACATTTAATAAATATTTAAAATGGTTAAATTGACATTTTGACTTTTATCTTTTTATGAAATTCACATTTTTACTTTAAAAATATATATTTATTCATTTAAATTTAAATCTCTGGATTTTGGTGAAGTTTTAAACTTTATTATTTCTAGTTTGCTGCTGCACATTCTTTAAAGATATCCGCTTATGAGCTAATCTATTAAATATAAATGTAATTTAATTTTAAATAAAATACTTTTAAAAGCATTTAATGTTTGCTGCTTTCTGCATGCATGCATTTGCATGCATGCAGAAAGCTGTGAGGCTGGGGGCCGTGGAGATCTGATTTCTGCAGCTTCGGGGCTCAATAGAGCAGCAGCAGCAGCAAAATATTAAATTAAAATCAAAATATTCACCAATTGAGCAGCAGCTGCAGCAGTGCTGCAGCAAACCCCCAGACACCACTGCAGCAGCAGCAGCAGCAGCAGCAGCAGCAGCAGCACCAGCAGCAGCAGCACCAGCGGTCTGGGGTCTCAGTGTCGGCAAGCCCAGCCCAGTCCACTGCGGGCTGCCGGCCTGCTGCTGCTCCCTGGGGAGTAAATGTTGCATTTTAAAAAAGAAATAAATAAATAATTAATAATAAATAAAGCATTAAACGAAAGTGTGGGCCCTAACGCCAGCCAGTCGGGCTGCGAGGCTGAGACCGCTGCTGCAGCGCGCAGCACCGCGATGCAGCAGCAGCACAACCCACAAGGCAGCAAAGACTAATATTTTGCGCAGCAAACATTACTAGAAAGTTTTTAAATAATAAAACATCTTTTGCAGCAAAATTGGCCAGGGCTTTCTGGCTGAACAGCCAGCAGCAGGGGCTCGGTGTGTCAGCGGCGCAGCATGCGCAGACACATGCACATCGAGGACCACCGGAGGCTCCGCAGCGGAGAAAAGAAAGAAAGCTTCGTTTCTTTGCTTTTATAAAGTTTATTTTCGCTTTTTAAAAGAACTATTTGGGATTTTCGCGCGCATTTGGGTCTTGAACTGCTTCGCAGGCTCGCCGCCTGCGCAGACACCGCAGCCCGGCTGGCTGCTCGCTGCGGCCCGCGCCTTTCTCGCCCTCCTCTTCATCTTTTTCTTTTCTTTGAACTTCAAAAAGAAAATAAAACTCCTTTTTGCGTCTCCTGGCCTCCAGTTGCTTTCGGGGGCCCCAGGGGTCTGCGCACAGGGGCCCCCGGGGGCCCTCCGACCCGCTCCGGGGCCCCCCGAGGCCCCGCGCCTGCCCACAGGGGCCCCCGGGGCCCCCCTCCCTGCTTTTCGGGGGCCCCCGGGGCCCCAGCGGAGGCCCCTGCAGGCAGCAGCGGCTGCTGGCGGCAGTGGGGGCCCCCCCGCGTTCCAGAGCTGCTAGGGGGCCCCCAGCCTCTGCAGGGGCCCCCTGGGGCCCTCTCGAGCCGGGGCCCCCGGGGCAGCAGGGTACAGGGGGCCCCCGCGGGATCCTGGGGGCCCCGCAGCAGCAGCGGGGGCGCGGGGGCCCCCATGGGCCCCTTGGGAGGCCCCAGCAGCTGAGGGGCCCCTGCGGGGCTGCAGGCGCGGGGGGGCCCCCGAAGACCCTGGGGGCCCCCGGGGGGCCCCTGAAAGCCAGCGAATGTCCCTTGTGGGGCGGGGGGGGCCCCCCTCGCTGCTGGGGGCCCTCCAGGAAGCCACTGGGGACAAGAAAAGAGCAGCAGCAACTCCTGGAGTTGCTGCTGCAGCAGCAGCAACTCCTGGAGTTGCTGCCAGACTTCAAACTGCTGCTGCAGTTCTCGAGCAGCAAAGCGCCAGGGCCTCCCTCGCGCTGCTGCGCGCAGTCGAGACTCTCGACGCCGAGATCCGCCCCGCCCGCTCCCAGATCGTCCCGGGTCTGCTGCTGCTGCTGCTGCTGCTGCTGCTGCTGCTGCTGCTGCTGCTGCTGCTGCTGCTGCTGCTGCTGCTGCTGCTGCT